GCCCCCCGGGAAACCAAGCCCACTAAAAATCAACCGTGCCCTCAACCTCCCCCCTGCCCTTTTTGGTGTTCCCTCACCAAGCGAATATCGCATGCTGTGGCTCAACCCTCCTGTACAGTGAGGTAATCTAACAGAGGCGTCAGGAAACTGGCGCAGACTATCCCTCCTCTTTCAGCAGCCAGGCGATAAGAAGTAGTTTATGTTGTTTTTTGCGAGGAAGTGCGCGGTAGCCGGTCTAGAGACAGGTCCTGTCATCCTGTGGGGACGCCACGCCAACCGCAAGTCGAGCGGGGGCTAGGTAGTTTGGGGCGGAGGACACTCTACTTTGATGATGATGTGAGGCTATGATCGCACTCTTGGCTTAGCCTCCGTCGGTCTTCAGGTAATTTCTTTTTTCCGCAATCAATCAGGAGAAGAGTGGGTGGTCAGCTTTGGCAGCGAGCGAAAACAGCAGTCGGTGGGTTGACCCAGGACCACAGGAGCAGGCAAGCAGTGTTCGCAGCATGTGTCCAGTGGAGGCACAACGGGCCACGCATGAGTAGTAAAAGGGTCACCATGACTCCACTGCAGCCTACACACTCTACGGCCAGTAGTGGTGACGGTGTGCAAGGAGGAAGTAGTGCAGCAGTCAGCTCCAAGTGATGGAGTAGCTTAGGCGGCAAAAGTTTCCCTACGTTCTCGGCGAGTTGTGGCACAATTTTTTCGTTCACAAGCCGCCCCGAGGAAAGTACAACAGTTAGCCGCTATGTTGACTATTGTGGCCAGAAAGTTCAAGAGCTGTGTGTCCAGGGGGCCAACTAGTTGGGGACTCACAGCTGATTGCTGGCAGCATATGCAGCGTCGCCATTTGGTGGCCTGGAAAACTCCGTGATAAAGTAGCGGCGGTTCTTAGCCCGCACCAGCCCCGCGCTCCATCAGTCAGATCGACCCGCTCCTCCGTTACTTGCTCCGTCACAGCGCCATGTGCCACTTTGCCACTTTCAGGTCTCCTCACACACTGCTGGTGTGTTGAAATTTTTGACATAGGGTGCTGGCAGATTACGGGCCTCCCATAGCTGCTGCCAGGCCCCTAATCTGCCATGGGCCCCTATATACCGCCTCCTCATGCTGCTGCCAAGTCCAGAGTCTCTCATGGGTCCCTGTACGGCCTCCCATTGCTGCTGTCTCCATCGCCACACTCTGCCATGTGCCACTTTCAGGTCTCCTCACACACTGCTGGTGTGTTGAATTTTTTGACATAGGGTGCTGGCAGATTCTGCCATGGCCCCTATATACCGCCTCCTCATGCTGCTGCCAGGTCCAGAGTCTCTCATGGGTCCCTGTACGGCCTCCCCATTGCTGCTGTCTCCATCGCCACACTCTGCCATGTGCCACTTTCAGGTCTCCTCACACTGCTGGTGTGTAGAATTTTTTGACATAGGGTGCTGGCAGATTACGGGCCTCCCATAGCTGCTGCCAGGCCCCTAATCTGCCATGGGCCCCTATATACCGCCTCCTCATGCTGCTGCCAGGTCCAGAGTCTCTCATGGGTCCCTGTACGGCCTCCCATTGCTGCTGTCTCCATCGCCACACTCTGCCATGTGCCACTTTCAGGTCTCCTCACACTGCTGGTGTGTTTGAATTTTTTGACATAGGGTGCTGGCAGATTACGGGCCTCCCATAGCTGCTGCCAGGCCCCTAATCTGCCATGGGCCCCTATATACCGCCTCCTCATGCTGCTGCCAGTCCAGAGTCTCTCATGGGTCCCTGTACGGCCTCCCATTGCTGCTGTCTCCATCGCCACACTCTGCCATGTGCCACTTTCAGGTCTCCTCACACACTGCTGGTGTGTTTGAATTTTTTGACATAGGGTGCTGGCAGATTACGGGCCTCCCATAGCTGCTGCCAGGCCCCTAATCTGCCATGGGCCCCTATATACCGCCTCCTCATGCTGCTGCCAAGGTCCAGAGTCTCTCATGGGTCCCTGTACGGCCTCCCATTGCTGCTGTCTCCATCGCCACACTCTGCCATGTGCCACTTTCAGGTCTCCTCACACTGCTGGTGTGTTGAATTTTTTGACATAGGGTGCTGGCAGATTACGGGCCTCCCATAGCTGCTGCCAGGCCCCTAATCTGCTGCCATGGGCCCCTATATACCGCCTCCTCATGCTGCTGCCCAGGTCCAGAGTCTCTCATGGGTCCCTGTACGGCCTCCCATTGCTGCTGTGTCTCCATCGCCACACTCTGCCATGTGCCACTTTCAGGTCTCCTCACACACTGCTGGTGTGTTTGAATTTTTTTGACATAGGGTGCTGGCAGATTACGGGCCTCCCATAGCTGCTGCCAGGCCCCTAATCTGCCATGGGCCCCTATATACCGCCTCCTCATGCTGCTGCCAGGTCCAGAGTCTCTCATGGGTCCCTGTACGGCCTCCCATTGCTGCTGTCTCCATCGCCACACTCTGCCATGTGCCACTTTCAGGTCTCCTCACACACTGCTGGTGTGTTGAATTTTTTTGACATAGGGTGCTGGCAGATTACGGGCCTCCCATAGCTGCTGCCAGGCCCCTAATCTGCCATGGGCCCCTATATACCGCCTCCTCATGCTGCTGCCAGGTCCAGAGTCTCTCATGGGTCCCTGTACGGCCTCCCATTGCTGCTGTCTCCATCGCCACACTCTGCCATGTGCCACTTTCAGGTCTCCTCACACTGCTGGTGTGTTCAATTTTTTGACATAGGGTGCTGGCAGATTACGGGCCTCCCATAGCTGCTGCCAGGCCCCTAATCTGCCATGGGCCCCTATATACCGCCTCCTCATGCTGCTGCCAGTCCAGAGTCTCTCATGGGTCCCTGTACGGCCTCCCATTGCTGCTGTCTCCATCGCCACACTCTGCCATGTGCCACTTTCAGGTCTCCTCACACTGCTGGTGTGTTTTCAATTTTTTGACATAGGGTGCTGGCAGATTACGGGCCTCCCATAGCTGCTGCCAGGCCCCTAATCTGCCATGGGCCCCTATATACCGCCTCCTCATGCTGCTGCCAGTCCAGAGTCTCTCATGGGTCCCTGTACGGCCTCCCATTGCTGCTGTCTCCATCGCCACACTCTGCCATGTGCCACTTTCAGGTCTCCTCACACACTGCTGGTGTGTGTTCAATTGAATTTTTTGACATAGGGTGCTGGCAGATTACGGGCCTCCCATAGCTGCTGCCAGGCCCTAATCTGCCATGGGCCCCTATATACCGCCTCCTCATGCTGCTGCCAGGTCCAGAGTCTCTCATGGGTCCCTGTACGGCCTCCCATTGCTGCTGTCTCCATCGCCACACTCTGCCATGTGCCACTTTCAGGTCTCCTCACACACTGCTGGTGTGTTGAATTTTTTGACATAGGGTGCTGGCAGATTACGGGCCTCCCATAGCTGCTGCCAGGCCCCTAATCTGCCATGGGCCCCTATATACCGCCTCCTCATGCTGCTGCTGCCAGGTCCAGAGTCTCTCATGGGTCCCTGTACGGCCTCCCATTGCTGCTGTCTCCATCGCCACACTCTGCCATGTGCCACTTTCAGGTCTCCTCACACACTGCTGGTGTGTGTAGAATTTTTTGACATAGGGTGCTGGCAGATTACGGGCCTCCCATAGCTGCTGCCAGGCCCCTAATCTGCCATGGGCCCCTATATACCGCCTCCTCATGCTGCTGCCAGGTTCCAGAGTCTCTCATGGGTCCCTGTACGGCCTCCCATTGCTGCTGTCTCCATCGCCACACACTGCCCATGTGCCACTTTCAGGTCTCCTCACACTGCTGTGTGTTGAATTTTTTGACATAGGGTGCTGGCAGATTACGGGCCTCCCATAGCTGCTGCCAGGCCCCTAATCTGCCATGGGCCCCTATATACCGCCTCCTCATCATGCTGCTGCTGCCAAGTCCAGAGTCTCTCATGGGTCCCTGTACGGCCTCCCATTGCTGCTGTCTCCATCGCCACACTCTGCCATGTGCCACTTTCAGGTCTCCTCACACACTGCTGGTGTGTTGAATTTTTTGACATAGGGTGCTGGCAGATTACGGGCCTCCCAGCTGCTGCCAGGCCCCTAATCTGCCATGGGCCCCTATATACCGCCTCCTCATGCTGCTGCTGCTGCAGGTCCAGAGTCTCTCATGGGTCCCTGTACGGCCTCCCATTGCTGCTGTCTCCATCGCGCCACACTCTGCCATGTGCCACTTTCAGGTCTCCTCACACTGCTGGTGTGTGTTGAATTTTTTGACATAGGGTGCTGGCAGATTACGGGCCTCCCATAGCTGCTGCCAGGCCCCTAATCTGCCATGGGCCCCTATATACCGCCTCCTCATGCTGCTGCCAGGTCCAGAGTCTCTCATGGGTCCCTGTACGGCCTCCCATTGCTGCTGTCTCCATCGCCACACTCTGCCATGTGCCACTTTCAGGTCTCCTCACACTGCTGGTGTGTTGAATTTTTTGACATAGGGTGCTGGCAGATTACGGGCCTCCCATAGCTGCTGCCAGGCCCCTAATCTGCCATGGGCCCCTATATACCGCCTCTCTCCTCATGCTGCTGCCAGGTCCAGAGTCTCTCATGGGTCCCTGTACGGCCTCCCCCATTGCTGCTGTCTCCATCGCCACACTCTGCCATGTGCCACTTTCAGGTCTCCTCACACACTGCTGGTGTGTTTGAATTTTTTGACATAGGGTGCTGGCAGATTACGGGCCTCCCATAGCTGCTGCCAGGCCCCTAATCTGCCATGGGCCCCTATATACCTGCCTCCTCATGCTGCTGCCAGGTCCAGAGTCTCTCATGGGTCCCTGTACGGCCTCCCATTGCTGCTGTCTCCATCGCCACACTCTGCCATGTGCCACTTTCAGGTCTCCTCACACACTGCTGGTGTGTTGAATTTTTTGACATAGGGTGCTGGCAGATTACGGGCCTCCCATAGCTGCTGCTGCCAGGCCCCTAATCTGCCATGGGCCCCTATATACCCGCCTCCTCATGCTGCTGCTGCCAAGTCCAGAGTCTCTCATGGGTCCCTGTACGGCCTCCCATTGCTGCTGTCTCCATCGCCACACTCTGCCCATGTGCCACTTTCAGGTCTCCTCACACTGCTGGTGTGTTGAATTTTTTGACATAGGGTGCTGGCAGATTACGGGCCTCCCATAGCTGCTGCCAGGCCCCTAATCTGCCATGGGCCCCTATATACCCGCCTCCTCATGCTGCTGCCAAGTCCAGAGTCTCTCATGGGTCCCTGTACGGCCTCCCATTGCTGCTGTCTCCATCGCCACACTCTGCCATGTGCCACTTTCAGGTCTCCTCACACACTGCTGGTGTGTTGAAATTTTTTGACATAGGGTGCTGGCAGATACGGGGCCTCCCATAGCTGCTGCCAGGCCCCTAATCTGCCCATGGGCCCCTATATACCGCCTCCTCATGCTGCTGCCAGGTCCAGAGTCTCTCATGGGTCCCTGTACGGCCTCCCATTGCTGCTGTCTCCATCGCCACACTCTGCCATGTGCCACTTTCAGGTCTCCTCACACTGCTGGCTGTGTTAAATTTTTTGACATAGGGTGCTGGCAGATTACGGGCCTCCCATAGCTGCTGCCAGGCCCCTAATCTGCCATGGGCCCCTATATACCCGCCTCCTCATGCTGCTGCCAGGTCCAGAGTCTCTCATGGGTCCCTGTACGGCCTCCCATTGCTGCTGTCTCCCATCGCCACACTCTGCCATGTGCCACTTTCAGGTCTCCTCACACTGCTGGTGTGTTGAATTTTTTGACATAGGGTGCTGGCAGATTACGGGCCTCCCATAGCTGCTGCCAGGCCCCTAATCTGCCATGGGCCCCTATACCGCCTCCTCATGCTGCTGCCAAGTCCAGAGTCTCTCATGGGTCCCTGTACGGCCTCCCATTGCTGCTGTCTCCATCGCCACACTCTGCCATGTGCCACTTTCAGGTCTCCTCACACTGCTGCTGGTGTGTTCAATTTTTTTGACATAGGGTGCTGGCAGATTACGGGCCCTCCCATAGCTGCTGCTGCCAGGCCCCTAATCTGCCATGGGCCCCTATATACCGCCTCCTCATGCTGCTGCCAGGTCCAGAGTCTCCATGGGGTCCCTGTACGGCCGGCCTCCCATTGCTGCTGTCTCCATCGCCACACTCTGCCATGTGCCACTTTCAGGTCTCCTCACACTGCTGGTGTGTAGAATTTTTTGACATAGGGTGCTGGCAGATTACGGGCCTCCCATAGCTGCTGCCAGGCCCCTAATCTGCCATGGGCCCCTATATACCGCCTCCTCATGCTGCTGCCAGGTCCCAGAGTCTCTCATGGGTCCCTGTACGGCCTCCCATTGCTGCTGTCTCCATCGCCACACTCTGCCATGTGCCACTTTCAGGTCTCCTCACACTGCTGGTGTGTTGAATTTTTTGACATAGGGTGCTGGCAGATTACGGGCCTCCCATAGCTGCTGCCAGGCCCCTAATCTGCCATGGGCCCCCCTATATACCGCCTCCTCATGCTGCTGCCAGGTCCAGAGTCTCTCATGGGTCCCTGTACGGCCTCCCATTGCTGCTGTCTCCATCGCCACACTCTGCCATGTGCCACTTTCAGGTCTCCTCACACTGCTTGGTGTTTCAATTTTTTGACATAGGGTGCTGGCAGATTACGGGCCTCCCATAGCTGCTGCCAGGCCCCTAATCTGCCATGGGCCCCTATATACCGCCTCCTCATGCTGCTGCCAGGTCCAGAGTCTCTCATGGGTCCCTGTACGGCCTCCCATTGCTGCTGTCTCCATCGCCACACTCTGCCATGTGCCACTTTCAGGTCTCCTCACACTGCTGGTGTGTTACATTTTTTGACATAGGGTGCTGGCAGATTACGGGCCTCCCATAGCTGCTGCCAGGCCCCTAATCTGCCATGGGCCCCTATACCGCCTCCTCCTCATGCTGCTGCCAAGTCCAGAGTCTGTCATGGGTCCCTGTACGGCCTCCCATTGCTGCTGTCTCCATCGCCACACTCTGCCATGTGCCACTTTCAGGTCTCCTCACACACTGCTGGTGTGTTCAATTTTTTGTCATAGGGTGCTGGCAGATTACGGGCCTCCCATAGCTGCTGCCAGGCCCCTAATCTGCCATGGGCCCCTATACCGCCTCCTCATGCTGCTGCCAGGTCCAGAGTCTCTCTCATGGTCCACATTGCTCTGTCTTATGCCATGTGCCATGTGCCACTTTCAGGTCTCCTCACACTGCTGGTGTGTTCAATTTTTTGACATAGGGTGCTGGCAGATTACGGGCCTCCCATAGCTGCTGCCAGGCCCCTAATCTGCCATGGGCCCCTATACCGCCTCCTCATGCTGCTGCCAAGTCCAGAGTGTGTCATGGGTCCCTGTACGGCCTCCCATTGCTGCTGTCTCCATAGCCACACTCTGCCATGTGCCACTTTCAGGTCTCCTCACACTGCTGGTGTGTTCAATTTTTTGACATAGGGTGCTGGCAGATTACGGGCCTCCCATTGCTGCTGCCAGGCACGTAATCTGCCATGGGCCCCCGTACCGACTCCTCATGCTGTGACGTTGCAACAAGGGTGGAATTCAACCCTACATATGTTAGACCTTTACGAACAGCGAAAGGCCATCACAGATTTCCTGATGTTAAAAGCGGATAAAGGTACTCCCTGTGTAACTTAGATGTCAGCCATTGGCAGCTCATGCGTGACACCTGCGCTTGCTCAGGCCCTTTGAGGAGGCCACGCTATTCGTGAGTTGGCAGGACTATGGGATGAACGACGTCATTCCTCTGTTGCACGTCCTGGAACAAATGATGTTAACAATGGCTGGTCAGGGTGCGGTAGACGTGGCGCACAGATCTCAACGCCACATGACCCCTGTGGGGGCAGGACAGGAAGAAGAGGAGGAGGTAGCCAGGAGGACATTGGTGCTCAGGAATTATTGAGTGAAATGGGTGGTTTTTCCACTCACTCAGCGGACAGGAGTGGAGGAGCAGGAGCATCTGGTAGAGGAGGAGGAGGAGGAGACAGAGGACCCAGACGCACCGTGGCAGTATGCTGTGGAGATGGAGGCAGGGAGTCCCTCTCGCATTCCTTGGCACAAATGGCCCATAGCATGCTCGCTTGCTTGCGTAGCGACAGCCGAATAATAACCATCAGACAGAGGGATGACTTTTGGCTGTCCACCTTGTTGGACCCTCGCTACCGTTCAAAAATGGTGGCCTTTTTCACACCTGCTGAGAGGGAGGCCAAAATAACGTACTATAAAAACCACCTATGTAGTCAGCTGGTCTCTGCCTTTCTGCGCCAACGTCCATCCTCAGACACTGTGGGCCCTGTGCGCTCGCGTTCCGCTGCCATGGCAGCAGGGGAGGGGTGGGGTGGTAGGAGCAGTGGCAGCTCCACCAGCAGCAGCTGCCTCAGTCTGCAGTCGATGATGAGTAGCTTTCTTCACCAGCGCAGTGAGGAAACTACTAACCAGCCGCAGCAGCAGCAGCATCAGGTGGACCTGGAGCAGGACCTCAAACAACAGGCTTAGGCCTACTTGGACAGCACCCTGCCAACCGAGGTAGACAATCCCCTTGACTACTGGGCAACGAAACTTGACCTTTGACCCCAACTAGCTGAATTTGCCCTTGAAAGGCTGTCATGCCCGGCCAGTAGCGTGGCATCGGAGCGCGTGTTTTAGTGCGGCAGGAGGTATTGCAACTCCGCGGAGGACACGACTGTCCACCCAAAGTGTGGAGAGACTCACGTTTGTGAAAATGAATCAGGCGTGGATTAGTCTGGATTTCAAACCACCAGTTCCTGACACAACTGACTAAATCCGCCATGAATCATGCCCCAACATGTGCCACTTTCAGGTCTCCTCACACACTGCTGCTGTGTTTTCAATTTTTTGACATAGGGTGCTGGCAGATTACGGGCCTCCCATAGCTGCTGCCAGGCCCCTAATCTGCCATGGGCCCCTATATACCGCCCTCCTCATGCTGCTGCCAGGTCCAGAGTCTCTCATGCCATGTGCCACTTTCAGGTCTCCTCACACACTGCTGGTGTGTTGAATTTTTTGTCATAGGGTGCTGGCAGATTACGGGCCTCCTATAGCTGCTGCTGCCAGGCCCCTAATCTGCCATGGGCCCCTATACCGCCTCCTCATGCTGCTGCCAGGTCCACAGTCTCTCATGGGTCCCTGTACGGCCTCCCATTGCTGCTGTCTCCATCGCCACACTCTGCCATGTGCCACTTTCAGGTCTCCTCACACACTGCTGGTGTGTTCCATTTTTTGTCATAGGGTGCTGGCAGATTACGGGCCTCCCATTGCTGCTGCCAGGCCTGTAATCTGCCATGGGCCCCGTACCGCCTGGTCACGCTGCTGCTGGGTCCACAGTGTGACATGGGTCCCTGTACCGCCTCCCATTGCTCCCACTCTGCCATGTGCCACTTTCAGGTCTCCTCACACTCCTGCTGGTTTCCATTTTGTCATAGGTTGCTGGCAGATTACAGGCCTCCCATAGGTGCTGCCAGGCCCCAAATCTGCCATGGGCCCCCGTACCGCCTCGTCACGCTGCTGCTGGGTCCACAGTGTGACATGGGTCCTTGTACCGCCTCCCATTGCTCCCACTCTGCCATGTGCCACTTTCAGGTCTCCTCACACTCCTGCTGGTTTCCATTTTGTCATAGGTTGCTGTATGGCCTCCCATTGC